TCTGGATGCTCAACGTGGGATGTAGGTGTTTGAAGCGGTCACCGAACCTCCGGTGCTACGGCCAAAACAATTCTTAGTGTTCATTCTTTAATTTCTGCAGTTTTACTTCATTATTGAGGTCATTGTTTGTCTCGAATACTTATATCGTGTTGTGGTCTGGGCCTTACGGTCCCCAACTTGTGAATTTAGTACTCTGTAAAGACATGCCACCCTGGATCCAATGTCTGGAAAGGAGACACGTGTACTAAGATTTTTATGCTACAATACTAGGGTAAACTTACCCTAGATCTAATGTCCAGGAGCATGCCACGTGTTTGAAGGTCTTTATGCATCCGTTCACACCTGAGCTTTTGGCCATTCCCTTGTCCGAGGGTTTCGAGCAACTTGATATTGAGATATGATGGACTACCGAACCACTGGACCATTTGAGATTTTTGTCGATTTGACAACTTTCGATGATTTTTATATACGCTTTGTTGCCTAGATACTTTGTTTGCAACAAGCAAAGTAAAAAGACTGCTATTGGGCTTATGCAACTGTTACAGGAAAAGGGATGAGGTGCTGAAAGATTTCTTAGCTCCATTTAATTGAGCGACATAATGCATCAAGGACTCCCATACGTCTGTTGTGGTAACGGTTGGAAAATCTTAACCTATTGGTGCAAAATACAAAATAGAGTTTTGACTTACTGAAATCAACATACATGCATAAAAAATATGCAAAACGACAACTTACTAACATTTAGAAAATGTAAAAATTCGAAGGATATGAAATGAAGTGAAGTATACGATTACAAATCTCTGTAAGACGGATTTCGCCTCGTGCACTTTTGTTAACAAGATTAAATGGATGTCTGCCTCTCAAGATACAACACTTCTTCCAAAATAAATATAGCACAATATTGATTTTGTCCTACGAACCAAACCTTGATCGTATTCTTCCAGACCGGAGATATCAAATACAAAACTCAAAAATAATATGGAAATTATTTTGATAGAATTTAGAAAGAAAAGAAATTAGAAATCAATTATTTGAATTGATTTAGAATGAAAATATAGAATTAGGAGCATCCTATTTATAACCATTAAATCAACAAATTTCAGATTTCAAATTTTAAATTTAGAGCAGAACATATTATGCATGCACCATAGGGGCATGTAAAAATTCAGAATATAATATGCAAAGGATCTGTCCTAAGATTATTGGAAAAATTGTGTGTATGAATTACCTTCCATTAATAAAAATACTTGCATGCAAATAGAATAAAAGTCGTAACTTATTGGTACGAAATATCGCATAGAGTTCCGATTACCAAAATTAAGATACGTACATAAAAAATAAGCAAAACGACGAATTAATTACTGGCATTTAGAAAAATTTAGAAATTAGAAGGAGATAAAATGAAATGAGGTATGTGATTGTAAATCTCCTTAAAACATATTTCTTCCCCCTGCGATGATGATAACATGATCAAATTAATGAACGTTTATCTTCCAAAATACAATACTTTTTTCAAAATGTATATATATAGCACAATATTAATTTTGTTGGGCGAACAAAACATTGATCGTACTATTCTAGACCAGAAGATATCGAACATGAATTTCGAAAATAAAATGAAATTTTTTTGACAGAATTTGGAGAGAAAATGAATTAGAAATCAATTATTTGAAACTGATTTGGAGGGGAAAATATGAAATTATGAGGGTCCTATTTAATATTTATAGATTTCAATGTGTTTTTATTTTAATTAATTTTTTAAAGTAATTTATTTAATGGTTGGATAATTTGTCAAGTACATTGGTAGGAAGACTCATTTTCCTAATTTCTTAAAGATTAGGGACAAAAACCTGATAAAACTCTTTTGGAAAGAATCCATCCCGAAAGGACATTTGCACCACTAATTCGAAGGTTTGGGACCAGTTGTGCTACTTTCCAAATGTTTGGAGCAAACTGCAAGAAGGACAAAGGTTTGGGACCATTTGCGCTATCTCCGAATATAATATAATTTATTGGTGCAAAAGTTTGAAACTAAAATTACACACGTAAATATTCATAATATTTTAGATCACACGGAGACCATAGTAAATACATAATTGGACTCGAAACCATAATAAACCTTCAATAATTGACATCCCATGGCTCAAGCAATTGGATAGGATGCAATTTTATCTACTCATTCCTCCTTGAACGGCTGGTGCCATTGTCATTGCAGGATTCTGTCCCTCCACATTTCCATGCCATCCTAATATTTTTCACATCAACCACCAATACCACAATTATATAAAATAAAAATGGGACACATCCATTTCTAAAAATATTTCAGAGAAATATTTCGAAAATGATCGAAGGTCTAAGAGGAAATGAAAATATATGCTTTGCGACCATTTTGGAGTGGGAAGACCTTTCAAAATTTTCTTTATTTTTTCCTCGTAATCTGAAAAACGGGATTTTTTTGGCAACAAATTATTATTGATTAATTTTATTACACATGTATAGGCGACTGTACAATGTCGTAACACAAATTTTAAACACAGGGGGAAAATTTATTACCAAGATACATATCAAACCCACGGTTTTTGAGCTCACGATATTCTTGGCATAATGCACAACTTTCGCAAAAACAATGAACCAAACAATCTGCACACGGATCATCTGGCAGCATGTATTGCCTTCTCATCTTAGAACGATAGAAGCAAGAGTATATGCATGGACATCCCGCAACAAAGGCTATAAGAGTGTAAAGTGCTCCACTTGCTCCACAAGCTGCCACATCAAATTCATAAACAATTAAATCTTCGATCGGAAATTTTGTATTTTTCTGAAAAACGAAATGGGAAATGTATAGATTTTTTGTCCTAGAAATAACTAACTTTAACATTCATAGTATCTATTAGAGTCCTACATTGACTGGTGATATTTACACGATCCACTTAATAAGGTGAGGGCAATCCTCTCTAACAAGTCGGTTTTGTTAGGTTGAGTTAATCACAATATCCTTTCTAATATGGTATCAAAGTATGCTCAGTTTTGCAATGTTGGGTGCACCCAATATCAATTTGTTCA